GTTTTAAAGTTACATCAAAAACCAAAATCGATTTTGTCGAAAAATGAGTGTGCGTAAAATTTCCTGTTTTCCCCTTAATTTTTAGTTTGTGTTTCTCGATTATTTAGAAAAGTATTAAGAATTTTTTTACTTTTGACTCCCCAAAGTACCAACTAGATTCACTTTCTGATCAAACGAGGTACTGAAGTAAAAAATCGAAGCATTTTTACTGCCCCAAAACGTGATGACAGACACAAAAAAAAACACACATCATGGTAAAATCAATACATTCATCGCTCTGCTCAAAATCTAAAAATAGATTTTAATTATACGAGTTCCTCTTTTTCGTGTCGTTAAACGCTGACTATGATTTTGGCTTCGTAGTAATTGCACGTTTTGGATAGGTCGTTACATGAACGGGTGTGATGTTAAAAGCTTGCTGTCATTTTAAATTGAAAAACGATTAATCATTACAGTCAAAAGCCGATTCCGAACGGAGCTCTCTATGCAGTTATAGGTTTTGACCGTAAACATATTATTATAACCGTTCTTTTACGATTTTCTCGAAAATTAATGGGAATTTTATAATCTTGACAGATTTGAAGTACGTTCTACATCCAGTTTCTGAGCATATTGCATACCCTGAAACTTCAAAAACATGTTTACTTTACTTCTTAAAATGTATTTACTCTTTTAAACTGCTAAAACTATACTATTTTTCTCTATATATTTCTCTCTATCACTCTGTGTGTGTTCGTTAACTTGGAACTGACAAAAACTAGTAAACTACAAAACTCGTAGTATAAATGGACGAAGTATGGACTATAAGAGTATATAAAGGCCTAATATACGTTTCTACCATTACTCATTTCCATCAAATGAGGTATTGACCAATTTCACGTTTTCATGAAAATAATTGTACATTATTTATTTTTTTAATTTTAAAATAATTATAATTTTTTGACTCAGCGAAATATTGACATTTTTTTTAATATTAAATTGATAAAAAATGTATATCAACTTTATATTTTGTTGACTTGATTATTATTATACTACACCTGGCCAACTTGACTTTCTACCATTAAGAAGTTTTTATTATAGCGTAATAATTATTATTCTTACAGTACAAACGTGATTTTTAATTATTTTTTTCTATATATATTAAAATTGTATTTATTAAAATGTGCATGTCATAAACTGTTTTTAAATAAGCTCTCCGAATAATATAGTTTTTTATTTTTTTATTTAAATGAAACTTTGTTAGCAATTAGTTTCGACAATTATATGCTTACGATGATGGTACATAAATGAATATAAAATATAGCTTTTAAATGTTTTTTTATTTCAAGGGAAAATTTCTCAGATTCAATAAGTATATCAGACACCTATGAGGTTATATGTGATTTATTATTTGTTTATAAAAAAAATGTAAAAAAATGTTTATAAATAATAACAGAAAAGTTGATTAAATTATAATTAAACCGATAAAAATAATAATCATAATCCATTTAAGAAACTCTGCGTGAAACATCAATCATTGGACAGTTGTTCATCGAACGTGTTAGAGAGGAACATTAGGTGAAGTTATAAAGTATTATCATTATTACTATTACTATTATTACTATTTTTATTATTATTATTTAGGATAGGAAAAATAATATAGTTATGGCAATGATAAGATCATAATTAAACAATATCATTTTTGTAACATTTTAAACACACGAGTATCCATATCTTAGACTATATTTAGAGTTAGAAATTATATTATATTTTTGTGTTCAAGTAAGTATGGTGTTTTGATAAATTAATAATGTTTTTTAAAACATTGTACACAGATTCGTTGAAAGTTATTCAAACGACGTGTTAATGAATTAACTGCATATTTATGCACCAAAAATAACAAAAAGTCAACGAAAACATAATATAAATATGAACTTCTTGGGTTCTATTATTGGATGGCTTCTCTCTTCATGTATTCAGGTTGTAAAAATTGTTATGTATGTGTTCAAATTTTCTTATTATGCCTTGTAGCATAGATTGTAAATATTCTCTTTCAAATAAAAAATATATGGACTTCATAAAAATCAATTATTATTTTTATATTTTCAGATAAAAATAGAAAACTGCATACGTACGTAAAAAAGACCAAGAAATATAAACAAATATAGGTGCCGTGTAAAATAGATCAATGGATTCACAATTATGAACATGCAAAATATTTAAATATGTAACGGACAGTAAACAAAAAAAAAACAAATTGATAATATCATACTAGTACCAGAATATACACTTCCCGATTGTCCGGTTAAAGGAAACAAAAATGTTTAGGTGAAACGGTGATGCATATAATTTTTTTATGAATTTTTAATGTTTTAAATCAATTTGCATATCAAACTGATTTGTATACCTAGGTAGTCTCTAAAAAGAAACTCCTTTAAACTAACGTTTAACAACAAATTTAACAATGTCATGAAATATAAAACTTTATCGGCATACATTTTTTAATGAGACATCACAAACTTCTAAGTTGGAACATTGCAGTTGAGTTTCTACAACTAATAACTTAAATATGGTTTCCATATAGTATCCCTGATAAAGGGCCACAATTGTTCAATTCTATCAAAATTATCCATACACAAGATAACACTTATAAATTACACCAAATAATAAATATTGAGTTATTTTCAAATTAAAATGCGTTAAGTATTGTATGGGATGCATGGACAGGCTATAACATCGACTCTACTAAGAATATTATGTTTAATGTGTCGGAACTCAAGTTTTAATATTAGAAATGCTTATGGGAAAAAATCGTTCTACACTTCTACAAAAAACAGGCATATTTCACGTGTGTGAAGTTGGCACCCCTATATTGAAAAATTTGAGACAGACCTATTGTAATTAAAAGATTTTCATTTTTAAGTATGTGTAAGTTGGTTTTCAGAATCTGTAAGTTAGGTCCCTCTACATCATCGTTTTATTATATTAATTATGCATTAAAAAATTATTATTATTATTCATCTGCAATGTTTTGATTGAACGAAAACGTTTTAGGAAATACTCGTAAATGATTTTTTTTTTTTTGATTTTTAATATTTTCTTTTTTTCACTTGTAACACGTACAATCTCTTTGGGTATATTATGCATTATCCACTAATATTTTTGGGTTAAGACAAATAAAATTAGGTATAACCAGGGCCCCCACAAGGGAGTGTCAGAAGGAACCGTGTTGCTGTGACCCGGCGTTCATGCAAATAGTTACTTCAATATAATATATTTAAAAAATGTTTAAAGATTGATTTTTATTTAAAAGGGGCTTGGATTTAGTTCTGTACAAGGGCCAAAAATATGATATAGAGACCCACAACCATTTTTGTTATGTAGTAGTAAACTCCATAACTTTCGATTGAAAAAATATCAAGAATAGAAAATAAAAGATAAAAATGCATTCGAAATCAATACATATATGGTTTTATTAGCTGTAAATAAATAAATAGGTAATCAAAACCCACAACACATAAATAATCCGTATGCATATATTATTTCTCATCACTTCAAATATATTTTAAGAATAAAAAATATATAATATGTAATACGCGCGTTAACACTTGTATGTAATAATAATAATATGGTAGGTAATGTTAATATTAATAGTTGATTAATAATTAATAATATAATAATATATTATAATATTAAGATATAGGTATAAGGAGGTATCTACCGACAAAATACTGATACGGCAAAACAGAAATGCGTTCGTAATAATCGCATATCATAATTATATTATACATATTATATTATGATCATTATATTGTATCTATTTGTACGATTTCTATAATACTAAATTCTAATATTGCCCGCGACATTGTGATATGGGTAATAATTGCTTCTATTTAAAAAAAAAAAAGTAATAAATGTTTGTCTCTTATATATTTTAGAAGAGAACATTATTATCATATAGAAATTGATTAAGAAATAGGTTTTTTTTTATACGTTACTTATAACAGTATATATACATGAACATACCTATATGCATATTATATTATATTATATGGAGTTTATAAACATTAAAAATTATAATGTTAAACTTAATTTTTTTTATTATTGTTAAACTTGGCATCATGATGCATTTTACTTCGTCATTAACTTTCATTGACGCATATTATATAATAATTGTATTTAAAGAAAAACTATTAACAATACCAATAATTATTTCACATTATATTTTACTAAAATTTACTTATGTTTGTTTAAATAGACAACAACAATAATGTATTATAGAATATTATATAGTTGAAAAATGTAATGATATAGTAAGTATATCAAAAAAAAAAAAAAAAAAAAAATACATAATATATTATTAATCATTTTGTTACAGATTTCAAAAATTGGTACTACTCGCAACTAACTTGCTATTCAATAAAATACGTTGTTTAGTTATTGTGAAGTAATAAAACCAGTAATACCATCGGCGATAAGTAATTTAGTAGGTATGTGTGGTAAAAACACAATCTGCTCTGCTGGCATGTTCCAGAATCGTCGTTGAAAAACTGACCGTGTACTTAGTAAGCTTGAGTTTGATATTCACCTAGATTATAACACAAATAAATACAATAATTTGCTATGATAATAATAAATATATAAATATTTTTAAATTGAGTATAACTTTATATGGCGCATTGTAAGCTAATATAATATTCTTTTTTATTTAAATTTGATAGAATAATTCATACATATACACCTAATATTGTAGGGATGTGTAGGCCTACGAAAATGAGGATTTCTCCTATTTAGATTCAGTCCCTAACTGTAAACTGTTAGTGGCTCAAAGGCCCAGGAAGCTACTACATTTTTTTTTAATGAATTTTATTTGAAATATACAATATATATATATATATATTGTATTGACATATTTTTATGCGATTGTATTTTTGTATACGCAAAAGGCAAAAAAATATTTGCGGAGTGTGACCATATATGTATGTCATAAAATTAAAAATATATACGAGTATGTTCAACAAATTATTGTTACTACTATTTTCAGTGATTTAGCATATGTACAATAATTAGTATGAGGCCTTTTAAACATTGTCCAACTATAAAAAAAAAGGTATCTATCCACCACGGCAACCTATTTCAAATAATAATCTATTAACTATCATTAGATTAATAGGGACCTCGCTACTGCCGTAAATTTTAACTCAAAAGATTAAAATTTAAGTAAGTTGGTACGTTTGATTTTTATCTGAAAAAAAATTGAAATCGACACAACATTATCTATAGATCGTACGCACAATACTTTGAAAAATTAAATCTTTTATCTTTTCAGATTCAATATCAGACAACGTTAATAAACATTTAAGTTTGTCAAGACTGCAATAGGTGAGTTACAAAATTCGTATAGCGAATTTCATATTGTTATCAGATTATTGACATATACTATGCACGTGCAAGAGTGGTATCCGTATTGAATTTTACCATGTAGCATTAAATATTAATAGTTGTTATTTACGACTAACACGCACAGATCTCGGGCGGCTAAGATGAGATAGGAAAATGTTTAAGTTTTGCGCTTTAAATATAATTGCCTAGCGGGTGCCTTTGACACATAGACCATGCGTGTCGGGTAATATATGCATGTATATGGTGGTATAAACAAAAACATGCACAATATAGTTACAATGTCTAAATTTTGAATCTCGAAATAATTATATTGACTCATACCCGACATCTGTTTATTAAACGGACTTTCGTTGTTACTGTTATTTTGCGTTTCGTCGTACACTCCAAACTGATCGGCTTCAAAAGATGATATAAATGCTGGATCAACACCCATATTGTATCTCTGGTATGAGAAATATGCAGAAGTCCCCTATAGTAAAATTTAATCAAAATCGTAAGTGACATAATATGATTATATTATGCCCTGATGTGTTATGGACATTAGTTTCACACAAACGTGAGACGCGAAGATTTTGTACTCACCCAAGAAAAAGTAGCAAATAATGCAAAATAAATGGCAGTGGTTGGATTGGCAGTGCTAATTGAGTCGGGGAAATCAGGTGTATTGCCCCATGTATCAGCTAGATAAATGAAAAGTAAAAAATTCCAAAACGACCATAGACCTGAAATTTAATAACACATTATTATTACATAAAAGTAGGTACGGATGTGCTGCAAATATTTTGCTTATACATTCGCCTTAAAATAAAAATGTATTGTTCTATCATTTGTTTTAATAGAATTGAAAGAGGTGATCAATTAAAATTCAAACATTGAAACATTTGATAAAACTATACTAAACGATATATGACGTTCGGCTAAATATAGTATTGTTTATTGAAACAATTGAATCAAGTTTTGCTATATTTTTTAGGAATAACTCGAATACCGATATTATAAGATGTTATTGTATATATGAATAGTTTTGTAAGTCAATATTGAACTAAAAATTAAAATTAATTTCTTCTTTCGGTAAAAAAAAGTATAATAAATTATTTGTACTTTGCTAAATAAACATTTTTCGTCTTGGTTGTAACCTCAAGTAAGTGAGTCTCTTATAAACATTCACTCAAACGATTTTTGATCATTTTTGACATTAGTATGATTTACATAATTATCAGATCTTATTGTTATCATGTATTATGTATATCAATAAACACCAGCAAAAAAAAAACACATTTTTTATGTAACAAAATGATTCATATAGATAAAGCACAACAACAATTATTGTTGTTGAGTTATTTTTAAGACTATATGTTTACTGTTAGTAAAATACTCTATAAAATACTATAAAAATAAAATTACAATAACCAAACTCTGCACAATTTTTGTGATATACGTGTCAAGAGTTTAGTTTTATAATATTATATTCGCTTATCGATTGTTCTTACTCGAGAATCCAAGGTCGATGAGCACGTAATGTTTGCGGCTTTTTACCGACGGCACGTTTTCGAAATAATACTCGCCGCCAACGAACACAGCCGCTCCGATCACTGACGTAAAGCCCACAACGCCGCCAATGTGACATCCAAAACTCTTAAGCTTGAACATGCATACTTCCTCGTTGGTTTTTGTGTCTGTAGTCCATGAGCCAGATGATGCACAAAAATACACGATCAAGCCAAACAACTAAAACAATATTTTAGAGCAGACGAAATAATTAGTTCAAGAGAAGAAAATATAATAATATATGTATCTATTGTGATAATTGATATAAGCATATTAGTGTCATCGAGACAATAATATTATATTATACTTTGACAGCTTTTAATTTGACTTGAGTTTTACTCACTGCAGTAAATATTTTCGAATTTAACGATTTTTTATCTGTTCGATTAGGTTATAAATTACCGCAGAAACCCACCCGAGTTGATCACCGATGAGGACATGACATGTATCCAACTGTTTAATCTTATTAAATTATTATAGCCTATGCCAATTTAGACCTATAGGCTATAGATAAAGTAACTCAATTTGATAATTCAAATTCACAAGTTGTTAATATTCATAATTAGTTAATACCTATTATAATTTTTACCCTTATATTCTACATAATAGGTATTCTAAAAAATACAAAATAAAACCATCACAGAGCTCATTGGTAAATTTGTTAACAAATATTAATTAAATTGAAAGATGATCAATTTAATTAAATCGAGATATTTTTAAATATATTTAAATTCCTATTCATTAGTATTGAAAACTCGTAAATAAGAATTGTCTGGTTTATAATTGAAAAAATAGCAATAATATTTAATGATACAAAAATCTAAAACGTTTAGCTAATTGTTTTGTAGATATATGTACTTGTGTGTTATGTATAATATTTTAAGTACCTTCACCGCTACTTTTCAAATAACCTTAAAGGTGTAAAAGGTTTAACGGGAATGAAATATGCAAATATAAGTATTTATTTTCTTAAATTGCATAGGTATTAAGTTCGTACTTAACTCACGACTTTTATTATAACATTTATAACGAATATTTTTTTTTTATTATGTAAACAGTTATGATAACTATTTTTTCAATTTATTTATTCACATAAATATAATACATATATTACTATGTTTAACACAAAAAGTAGGGCCATTATATGCACACTATACGAAATTTCGTTTATCATTATTAATTATATTTTATAAAAAGTGTATAATCATATACATTAAAAATTTCGTACCTATAAAATATTGCTTTGCTTTAATAAAATTAATTTTTATTAGCGTTTTGAATTTCAGTTAACTACTTACGATAACAATCAAATTACATCGTAGGCTAAGTACAAATTGACCATATCCGTAATCACGAGCCCCGCACTTACCCTTAACTATATACAATGTTTATTAGTAGTTATTTATACGTACACAATCCTTGCCCTATCGTACCGAATTATCTTTATCTATACAGCGAAACCTCTAAATAAACCTTTCAATAATGGACACTTTTAAATTCCCCGGTAAAAATGTATGCACATATTAGGAGTTGAGCCCTCCTAATAGTGGACACTGAAAATTGGAACCAAAATGAAGAATTACCTCTCATAAATGGACGCAATATATATACACATATCATTGCAAAAAGCAGAAAATAGATTACAGATATTTTTAATTGTATACATAAATATAAAACATTTTTATAAACACTTTTAAATACATACGAATTGTGTATATAATAAATAATAAATTAATATCTTCCAAATTCAATGCGTATGATGTATAAGTAAATGTATAACCAATTCTCTACAGGCTCTCCCTATAGTAGACATTTAATAATTTCTCGCAAATGTTCATTATGTAGAGGGTTTCTCAATTGTAGACGACTTTCTATAGAGAACATTTTTTAATTCTCCATGACTTTCTACTATATAGAGGTTTCGCTATACTTGATTTTTTTTTTTACTATACCTGTAGTACATTATTAAAATAATATTTTAAAAATGCATTGTAACGTGAAATTAAATATGCAAGCCATTTCGGTTTCTTGCAGAATGCAATTCCCAGGCCATTTGGTAAATATTTGTACAATGTTTTACATTTCATTTTTACAAAATTTAATAATAAACCGTCATAAAATGTAATATTGCAATTATTTTATATATATTTGGAGAACTGTGCTGTGGTTTGAAGTGACGGTGGAGCCATGGAAGGGTAAGATGGGATAATCTTCACTTTTATTTTCACACATACTTCACCCCCTAAAACATCATTTTTTAATCGCACTTCGATGCATATAAAAGCTTTTGCGGCGAATTCTTTTTCTGATAATACATGTAACTTAACACGAGGGCTGATCAAAAAGTTAGGTTAGGTTATATATTATTTTATTTAGTATGGTTTTTCGCGTGATTATACGTAAATATACAGTGTAGGATAATTATACTTATTAAAAATCGAGACTTGTAACGAAAATATACTCGCCAGTGTTCGTAGTATATTATATTGCCTCCGTTCATCTAACAAAAACCACAGTACCTTACCTACCTATATTKCAGGCTATTACTCCACTAAGCAAAATTTTATTTAAATTAAATATTATTCAAATAGCGGTATTCGCTTTATTGGCTGATAATCTATAAGGAGTTTATAAAATTATATATCATACAATAAGTAGCAATAATAATAAATTATTATAACTGTAACTCCTTCGTATATGACATTATCTAGAAAATATTCTCCCCTTTTAGTTAATGACTGCGAGACGCAAGAGTTTATATTTTAATCACTGATATTAAATCGCGATGACGCCACGATTTTAATTTTGCGTATCGTGAAATTTACGCTATATTTTCCGTGTCGGGTGCAATAAGACAAATTTCTATATATTACGGTATTTTATACAACACTGCTGCAAGGTAATGTTATAAATTCTTTTCCTCACCCACTTATTTATATAGGTGTAACAGATTGAACTGATTTTTAGAATAACTTTTGTTCAAATCAATATTTTTAATTTTAATTTTTTGTTCATTAGTGACCCTAGGGCTATGTATGATAATTTTTTTTCGTGTTTATTTTTTAGTACTGAAAATAAATTTAAATAAATTTAATAAAAATTGTTCGGATCGATTCAAAATAGTATATTTGTGAATCTGATTTTAAGAATAATTTTGGTGGTAAAAAAAATTATCTAAGTCAAGTAGTTTATTTTTTTAAATTTTTTAAAATTCAATATTATTTTGGTTAAATCAATTTGGTAGGTAAGTAATAACTTTATGATTTTTGAGAATTCGCTGACATGAGAGCATTTCTTAAATTATTTACTGATTA